GCAGGGACACCTCCCAGCAGCCCAGGCTGCTCCAAGCCCCATCCAGCCTGCCCTTCAACACCCCCAGGGATGGGGCAACCACCTTGAAGATCATCTAGGGGATCATCCAGGTGGTCTGGAAGGTCCCTTCCAACCCAAACCATCCCATGGTCTTAAGACCATCCAGTCCCATCAATCTACAACTTCTCCAGGAAACCTGGCCCAGGCTCTCCCCACCCTCACACTCCACAATTCCCTCCTCAGCTCCAACCTCCAGCTCCCTCTCCCACTTTTCATCCCTCCCCCTCATCCCATCCCTCCCTGCCCTTGGCCCAAGTCCCTCCCCAGCTTTCCTGGAGCCCCTTCAGGCCCTGGAAGCTGCTCTAAGGTCTCCCTGGAGCTTCTCCTCTCCAGGCTCAACACCCCAACTCTCCCAGCCTGGCTCCAGAGCTGCTCCAGCCCTCCCAGCATCTCCAGGGCCTCCTCTGGACTCTCTCCAACAGCTCTGGGTGGACACTGGGGTTGGTTGCCACCTTGGGATGGACAGAGGAACCCCAGCACTACCTTGAAGAGCAGAGGTGAAGCAGAAAGCATCGAATCTGTCCTTCTGCTTGTCCCTGGCCCCGTAGGTACGGACACCTGGCAGGAGGAGGCGACCACCACAGGGTTCCCTTGAGTTGATGATGGGGTAGTGGACAGTCCCATCAAGGATCCACCCAGCATTGCACCAGTCCAGACCCTCCGTCCAGGCTGGGGGGGCAAAAAGTAGCTCAGCACCAACACTTCCCTCCTCTCTCCCTCACTCACCAAGGAGTGTTTTTGGGGTGATCGAAGGTGGGTTTGGGGGTTTTTTTTCGGGGGTGGGGAGGGATCCTTCACCTTTGTAGAGCTGCTGGTAGGTGGCCAGGCGGGAGTCCTGCTGCTCACAGGCTCCCTTGGCTTCGTGGTAGTTGAACTTGTAGCGCCCATTGCTGGGCTGGTAGGGGAAGACAACACCTGAGGGGACAGGGACAGGGCCAGAGGGTGAAGGAGATGATCTCCCCGAGGAGTTTCTTCACCCGTCCTGGTTCCTTCTCATGGAATCATGGAATGGGTTGGGTTGGACCTTCAAGATCGTCTAGATCCAACCCCCCCCATGGGCAGGGACACCTCCCAGCAGCCCAGGCTGCTCCAAGCCCCATCCCACCTGCCTTATCACCCCCTGATCACCCCCTGATCATCTCTGTCTTAGACTAGGTATTGGGAAGAACCTGGTTACTGAGAGTGGTCTGGTCCTGGAAGGGGCAGCCCAGGGAGGTGGTGGAGCCACCAAACCTGGAGATGTGTTGGTTTGGCACTTCACGGGGTTGTCCCTGTGGGTTGTGGGGTGACGTTGGCTTTGTGGGGGTGTGTGGTTGTGGTTCCTTGGCTGCGTGGTTGGACTCACTGACCTCCCAGGGCTTCTCCAACCACAACGATTCAGCGACGGGGACCAACCCGGGGCAACGGGGTCCACGAGGGGCCACCCGACCTCATGCCCATGTATCCTCCAGGAGGAGGTTGCCAAGGAGGACGCACCTTCCAGGTGGAGGGTGAGGGAGACGCTCTCATCCTCCAGCCCGTTGACCAACTGGCACCGGTACCTGCCCTCGTCCTCCAGGGCCACCTGGGTGATGGTGAGGGAGGCATCGTAGCGGTGGCTGCGCCTCAGCCTCACCCGGGGGCTCAGGGGCCCGTAGTTCTTGTGGTAGAAGCCGTTGGTGATCAGGATGATGTTCTCCCCATAGTTGCTGGGCTCCAACTTGCTCCACTTCACCCGGTAGTTGCCGGGCAGGGCGCGCAGGACGCAGGGCAGGGTGGCCGTGGCCCCGCGCTGGGTCTGCACCACGGGGTGGAGGGGTTCCAGGAGGTACTGCAGCTGGGGGGGGG